GATTCCGTCGAAATTTGGGCGGTGCTGCAGTCCCTTCAGCGGTGCCAAGTTGACTGTCGGTATATCGAAGTGTTGAAGTGCTTGTACAGTAGGGCTACGATGGTTATCCGAGTACAGAACTAGAGTACGAAACCTATCCAATTGCAGAGAGGTGTAAGACAGGGTGACGTCATATCCCCGAAACTCTTCACCGCTGCATTGGAAGACGTTTTCAAGCTTCTGGACTGGAAAGGATACGGTATCAACATCAATGGCGAGTACATCTCTCACCTTCGATTTGCCGACGATATAGTCCTTATGGCAGAATCGCTGGAGGACCTAAGCACTATGCTCAATGACCTCGATAGTGTTTCCCAACGGATAGGTCTTAAGATGAACATGGATAAAACAAAGATCATGTTCAATGTCCATGTCACACCTATGCCGGTAGTTGTTGGGAGCACTAAGCTCGAAGTTGTTGACGAGTATGTTTACCTGGGACAAATAGTCCGACTAGGTAAGTCCAACTTCGACCGAGAGGTCAATCGACGGATTCAACTCGGCTGGGCAGCGTTCGGGAAGCTACGACACATCTTCTCGTCAGACATACCTCAAAACCTGAAAACGAAATTGTACAACCAGTGCGTGTTGCCAGTGATGACTTATGGAACTGAGACGTGGTCCTTCACTGCTGGCCGTATGAGGAAGCTCAAGGTCGCTCAGCGAGCTATGGAGAGGGCTATGCTCGGAGTTTCTCTGCGTGATAAACTTAGGAATGAGGATATCCGCAGTAGAACCAGAGTAACCGACATAGCCCAACGGATTAGTAAGCTGAAGTGGCAGTGGGCCGGCCATATAGCTCGAAGAACCGACAACCGATGGGGAAGAAAGGTTCTCGAGTGGCAGCCTCGTACCGGTAGGCGAAGTGTAGGGTGTCCCCCCACGAGATGGAGTGACGACCTGGTAAGACATGCAGGAAGTCGATGGATGCAGGAGGCTCAGGACCGTGCTTTGTGGCATTCTTTGGGGGGAGGCCTATGTTCAGCAGTGGACTTGTGAAGGGCTGTAATGATGATGATGAATGATTAGTTCCTAAATTTTTACATGATATGTTAATTTAAATAATATATAAATTTAAAATTAAATATATAAGAATCATCTCTACATATTATAAAACAAAGTTATCGCTTATATCTTTTAAACTACGCAACGGATTTTGCTACAGTTTTCATCAATAGACAGAATTACTGAATTCCAAGTCTGGATCTGTCGTGTCAACATCTGTACATCTTACACTACCTTTGAATTTATTTCTTATCGTATGTCTAAGTGGGTACCTACCTAATAAACGAACAACTACGGCCGCTTAACCTCCATTAGGGTTATCATCATCACCCTTACCTTTTTGGATAGCTAATTAAATGAGCATGTTTTTTAAAATATTTTTATGTCTCATGTCATAGTAATTTTTGAAGTACGTAGCATTTTATGATACATAAAGAGTAAACAAAAAAGAAAATATAATAATTTATACCCATATTTTTTTACTTTTATTTTTGTACTTTTTATGATTGTATTCACTTGGTAGAAGCTTCAAGAAAATAAATAAACTTAAAGCATACAAAAGAGGTTTTATTTTTATTTAGAATTTAATACGAAATTCTGGATGATTATTGAAAAATCTTTAAAATCCGTGTATCTCAAAACCTGTTCATATGGGGGGTCAAATTTGTAGCATTTTGACTCCCCTATCACGCCCTACCAGGAAGTTGTCGAGTTCCCAGTAACCCTGTATAGATCCCACTTAAGTTTAGGTAGGAGTCACGCTTGACCGCGATTTTTTCTTTAACTGCAACACAGCATAAACAATGCTTGCGGAAATAAAAGGTTTATTATAGTTTAGTTTCTCCAAAAATCTCACCTGAAAAATGCTCTAATTATTTGGAAATAAATTTTTTTTAGGAAACGTTACCTCCACACTAGGATTTTCTCCTGTATCACGGGGGCAGTTTACAAACACAGATTTCACAAGGCCATACAAATACTTGTTCCGTGCGGGATTCGAGCCCGCGGCCCTTAGCGCTGCAACTCATTGCTAAGCCACTGCGCCACGGAGCCGTCAATTGATATTTTTGGTCTATGTTAACGTCATTAATAGTTATTACAAATACTACAAAATCAATACAATTGAAATATTGACCATGCGATCGTTAGCAATTTTTTTTTATAGGATCGGGTGACAAACGAGCACACAGTCCACCTGATGGTAAGTGGTTACTGTGACCCATAGATATCTACATCTCCTCAATAAAGACTCAAGATGCAGATGCGTTGTCACCCGTGAGGACTAAGATGGAATGCCTCTTTGCCAGTAAAAAGGGTTTCCGGTTCTCTACACTCATCATACGAAACACAGCAGCGTTAAGCTGTTATTTTACGCTGGTTTTCTGTGAGAGCGTGGTTCTTCTCCGGTCGAGCCGACCCATTCGTGCTACAACTATAATACCTATAGCTGCAGCATGGCTCTACCACGTACAATTGGTTAAGACATAAAAGTATTATGGAAGGACCACGCTCTCACGGAATACCAACTTAAAATAGCAGCTTAGTGTTGTTGTGTTTCGTATGGTGAGTGTAGAGAGCCGGAGACCCTTTTTTATTGGAAACGAGGGATTCCGTCTTAGTCCTCACGGGTGACAACGCATCTACATTTTGATTTGTAATGCCTATAGGCCACAACATCCACTTACCATCAGGTGAACTATGTGCTCTTTTGTCACCCTATCCTATAAAAAAAACATCCACTACCCCATATCATCCCGTGGGTGTCGTGAGAGGCGACAAAGGGAAAATGGAACAGGAGATGGACAGCTAAGTGCATAGAATCACGCTGCATATCCTATTATAGGTGCAGTACGAATGTATCCGCTCGACCTGGGAAGGACCACGCTCTCACGAGAACCAGCATAAAATAACAGCTTAACACTGCTGTGTTTCGTATGGTGAGTGTAGAGAACCGGAGACTCTTTTTACTGGAAAAGAGGCATTCCTTTTTAGTCCTCAGGGGTGACAATGCATCTGCATTTTGATTCTTAATCGAGGATAAAAATGTAGATGTCTATGGGTCACAGCATTCACTTACCATCAGGTGGACTGTGTGTTCGTTTGTAACCGTTGTCCTCTAAAAAAAAAAACAATTAATTGTGATAATACGACACGTGTTACGTCTATACAAGGTATCGTCATACAGTGGTAAAATTAAAAATTTTGTACAACCGACTTCAATATAAATAAAATGAGAACATCATCAATGTAGTCGAAGTCAATTAAATACGCATTATTAACGATAACTCAAAAACTACTTGGTCAGATCTTGATCAAAATTATATGGGTCAACATGAGAAGCACCAGCTTTCAAATAAAAATCATTAAAATCGATTCACCTAGAAAAAATATATGAGGTAACACACATTAGAAAAGTACAGTCGAATTAAGAACGTTATTTTTTGAAGTCGGTTGAAAAATTCTCAGCGATGGCTGACCGCTCAGTTGAACAATAAACAATAATTCTAGTCACACATAATTTTTATTGTTTACGCTGATCTTAGCGAAGTTCTAATGTTAATTTTTGTGTCGATCTAATAATCTGTAAATCCATTTTATTACACCTAAATTGGAAAACAGACAGGCAAATCTGCTTTGTTTATATATATATATTGACAGCCGGCGTCTACATCCGTTTAATCAATTAACTCAAAAACACTGCAACCACCGGCTACCTCATTTTTAACCGCAAGAGCGAAAGAGATAGTGATTAAAGAGAGACGTGTGTACATCCCTTTTGATATGCCGCCAGGGCGGGGCTTCACATGACACGCCCACAAAAGTTATCGATTTTGTCCGGGAGTATAATTTATTCATAATTCCTTTGTTATCCGCCTCCGCCTTTGCTTTTAATTTGCCGAATTACCTTTTTTTCCTTTTAATTCTGCTCTAATTGTACCTCAAAGGCCTTGCGTGGGATTCGTTTATCTTTTTATGTTATAATATGATACTTTACTAATATATATGAACGACATTGACATCATATGGTGAGTGTACGGGGACTCTTGTTACTGATAACGGCATTCTATCTTAGTCCTCACGGGTGACAACGTATTCTGCATTTTGTTTCTCAATCGAGAGTAGATGTAGATGACTGTAGGCCACAGCATCCACTTACCATCAGGTGGACTGTATGCCCGTTTGTCACCCTTAACTTATAAAAAAGTGAAATAACATATAATATATATTACTTAGGTATGCGACAATCGCATGATCACACGAGATACGTGTCTCTGGATTCAATTCGAGTGAAGATGTGAACTCACTATTTTCCATATCTACTATTTTCACATCACTGAAACAAAATCTTACATGCTGTACACTCTGTATGCAGACACCAACATGATCTGTATCTATCCATCGATCCATTACAGCCTATAAAAGTCCACTGCTGAACGTAGGCCTTCCCTATAGATTGCCTCATAGGGGGATATTTGCCACAGTTGTAATGTTACTGTTGATTTAATAATTTCACCTCTCAGCGGGTCGTTTGCTCCTGGTAGATTTCGTCTATACATCCATCCATTACAGCCTATAAAAGTCCACTGCTGAACATACCCCCCACCCTATAGATTGCCTCATAGGGGGATATTTACCATAGTTGTAATGTTACAGTTGATTTAATAATTTCACCTCTCAGCGGGTCATGTGCTCCTGGTAGATTACCTTCTATACATCCAACCAATACAGCCTATAAAAGTCCACTGCTGAACATAGGCCTCTTCCATAGATTGCCTCATAGGTTGGATTTACCATAGGTGCCACGCTTGGCAACCGCAGTTTTTTTTTATTATTTTAAGTTGTTTTTTTGCCCATTTTTTAAAATCTGATTCAGTTCAAAACATATATTTTAATACTAATTAATGTTCATGTTAAAGTCCATGGAGCCGCAACTAACTGTAAACTCCTGTCCACAGAAAAGCTCCGGCTCTCCCTGTGCGTGGGTTGCGGCGGCCAGATCCACGACCAATACATCCTGAGGGTCGCGCCGGACCTGGAGTGGCACGCGGCCTGCCTCAAGTGCCAGGAGTGCAGGCAGTTTCTCGACGAGTCCTGCACCTGCTTCGTGAGAGACGGGAAAACATATTGCAAGCGGGATTACACTAGGTGAGTAGATTTGAAAGGGAAAATAAGGGAATTCACGACTTTTTCACCAGAGCGTCATTACTTAGTAATAAGGTGAAATACGTGTTTTATACGAGGTAGAGCCATGCTGCAGCTATTAGTAGTATAGTTGTAGCACGAAGGGGTCGGCTCGACCGGGAAAGAACCACGCTCTCACAGAATACCAGCGTAAAATAGCAGCTTAACACTGCTGTGTTTCGTATGGTGAGTGTAGAGAACCGGAGACCGATTTTACTAGAAAAGAGGCATTCCATCTTAGTCCTCACGGATGCATGCATTTTGATTCTTTATTGAGGATAAATCTAGATATCTACGGGGCCCAGCAACCACTTACCATCAGGTGGACTGTGTGCTCGTTTGTCACCCTTATCCTATAAAAATATTTGACAGATTTCATGGCGAAGGAAGTTTTGTTAGAGATTGATGTTTCTTTCTAAAATATTAAATACCTATATTTTGTAAATATATTATAAAATAGCTCGCCAGGCAGACGTTGTTCTGTCCTTTCCAACGACCCTTCCTATAAAAATCCTTAAATTCGCAATAAAAAATTTTGAGGGTCATTTATCGGGATAAAAACTATCCTATCTCTCAAGTTGGACCAATATGCACACAGTGTGCAAAATTTCTATCTATATATTCTAATTTTTATATGCCTTCCGAGTTCCGACATTACAATTTATACTTTTTGTATACCTACTTTAATAAAAAGGATTAGGGTGCAAATGATGGACTTAATGCATTTTGACATTCTCTGCCAATCAACCCGGAACGTATGGAATAACATGATAGCACAGAATAAATAATAGTTGGTGGTAGGTGCCAATTTTCTACCGACTTCAAAAAGGAGGAGGTACTGAATTCGACTATATGTTCTTTTTTCTTCCTTTTTTATGTGTGTTACCTCATAACTTTTTGTGGGTGAACCGATTTCGATTATTCTTTTTTTATTTGACAGCTGGTGCTTCTCAAGTGGTCCCATTGATCGAGGTCTAACTAGTAGTTTTGAGTTATTCTTGATAATTTATATTGAAGTCTGTTGTACCCTTTTTACTGGAAAAGAGGCATTCCATCTTAGTCCTGAAGGCTGACAACGCATCTGCATTTTGACTCGCAAACGAGGATAGATATAGATGTCTATGGGCCACAGCAACCACTTACCATCAGGTGGACTGTGTGCTCGTTTGTCAGTTTCGTTCTATAAAAAAAGAAGAAAAACAAAATTTTGAGGAAGAGGATTCAAGGGAAGGAAGAAAGAAGAGAAATTTATGAGTAATATATTTTTTATAAAATCATAACCTCACACTTTTACACAGGAATATTGACTGAAAGTTACTTCTGTAACGGCTTCGGCGCTGCAGGAAGTGCAGCCCCTTCTCCCTTACGTAGCAAATCACAGGCATCCATGCTCACCTCCGCAGCTTCGGCTTATTGGTCCCTTACGGCGACCAGCCTCAGCCGCTACTGCTCACACAGGTGCCTGCGATTTGCTACATCGGGCGGAGGTTGCTCTCCCTCAGCGCCTACATCTTTACAAAAACACTCTAGGGGTAGGGCAGACACTCGTGGAGTCGGGGGGTTCTGTTTTAGTACAGATTCAACCTATCTTATCTATAGTCAGGTGGCCTTAAACTCTGCTATGATAGTGGTAAATGGAACAATGTATTGTGAATTGTTATAATTTTGTTTTCTGAAAAACCTGTTTGACAGCTCTCCCCTGCGACTCAATTCGTTGTGTATGAGTCCCATCTTCAGCCACAAATGGATTGTCTGGGTCCGAGTAATTAACTTTTATATGGGTGACCCGTTTCGTTATATGCAATTTTTAGTTACCTAATGAATTTTATTTTTATCGTAATTAATTCAAAAGACATTTCCATAACCCAAAAACAGTATAAAAGGTTCTAACTTAACTCAAACAAACCTCCTAAAATGAAGACATAATTAAAATCAACTACTCAGCGTTACTTCATAACACTTGACCAAAGACGTATTTGCGTTTCGTTATACCTACGCAATTTTTAATGAAATTTATTTTTATCGTAATTAATTTAAAACACATTTCGGACATCCAAATACACTGTAAAAGATTCAAACTTAACCCTGACAAGCCTCCTAAACTGAAATCATAATTAAAATCAAGTACCGGACGCCTACTTCATACTAGACCAAATTGACATATTTGCGTTTCGTTATACGCAATTTTTAGTGAAATTTATTTTTCGTAATTAGTTCACAACGCATTAACGACATCCAAAAACAGTGTAAAAGGTTCATTCTTAACCCTAACAAGCCTCCTAAACTGAAAACATAATTAAAATCAAGTACCGGACGTCTAAAATAGCCAACCCAATATCCGCCCTATGGGACAATATATATGGGAGGCCTGTGTTCAGTAGCGGACTTTAATAGGCTGTAACGGATAGTACATAGCAGGTTCTTATGATGTTTTGTTTCTGACTAAATATCGCCTTAAATGATTATAATTTATAACTTAGGAAAGCACTGATGATGGTGATTAAATATTACAAACAAATCAAATTAACTTGCCGACACAAATTACCAAACAGCGAGGTAGAGATTTGAGTCCGAGCTTATGAAACATAAACAAGTTCCAAGTCAAACTGAGGCTAATTCTCGCCGCGTCAGTCAACCTACACTGTTTGTGTACACTGCGGCTACAAACGCCGGTTAATTATAAATCGTTTACACAAAACGATTTTAGAACGCAGTGTATAAAAGTCATTACACAAAAAAAAATATCCATAACCACACGTCAGTCATTTTTAAACGCGGCGCCACTTTTTCCACGCAGCACCAAAGATGAATTCACTAAAATAACTCGCACATGTTTACCGTTTCACCCTTCTATCTCGATCCTGATGCTAAAATATAGAATTACCTTAGGCAAACTGCATCTGACCTCGACAAAGATATATTTAGAAACAATTCCATCTTTGCAACCAATGTAAAAAGACACAAATTCGCTTGTCGCAACCGATCTAATATCGGCAAAGTTAAATTTGTCGCTGTACACAGTGATGTGCCGAGAAAACAAACTGGGTTTGACTGAGCATTATGTATTTGGGCGCCAAAACAAACGTCACTTTGACAGCGCGGCGGGCGGCGGGAACCTGATATGTCTATGGTATGTTTGTCCTCGTTTACACCGGCCCGGATAAGCGGGCTTTCTATTTCACTTTTTTTTTTTATTTAACCCATGTATAAACAAAATAATCTGTGCACTATTGACATAAGTATAGAGCTTCGTTGGCAAAATTTATTAACGTAACTTTGACTGAATCCTTAATGCACGCTTTGCAGTCGGTAATACCTGAAGTCTCACTTTCCACGCTGCTTTCTATCGCTGATCTGGGTATTTAACTTCTGAGATGTTTATTTATTTTTTATAAAATTTAATTGATAGTGACTGCACAACACTTCATCAAAGTCCTCCCTCCTGGAAAGAATCTTCCCCAAGGAATGCCACAAAGCACGGTCCTGAGTCGTCTGCATCGATCGACTTCCTGCATGTCTTATCAGGTCACCACTCTATCTAGTGGGGGGCCGCAATACACATCGCCTACCGGCACGAGGCTGCCACTTATGCCACCATATGGCCGGCCCATTGCCACTTTAGCTTACTAATCCATAACGACGGGTAAGCTTAAAATGCTTGTATTAGGAGTGGTGCATGACAGTAGTCGAATGGCGAATTCAAACCCACGACCTTTTGAGTTACATTATTAGGCTACTGGCGCTTAAATACCTACACTCATTGGACGAAAATTAATATCGATTAGATCTTCAACCATACATATCCAGAAGCTTAACTTGCGTAGTCAACCTAATCTAGTTAGGATGTTCCGTACTAGGTGCTAACGCCCACGGAGCAATAAGGCTAAAATTACAACTAATATATAAAAAAAATTATTGGTAAATCAAATTGTGCATGCCTTAAGCGCATTAAAAAAATTACGTATAACATGATTATACGTAAATTTTTAAAGTAGCTATATACATATAAGTTTGCACTAATTACCTTATTACTATACTTCCAATATTCCGATATTTTTTATGTCAAACTTCAATTAAAAAAAATTTGGAAAATCCAAAAGTGCATGACTCATAATGCTCAGTGCCTGGATGACAGACGATGATTTTTTTGGAAATTATATTTCAATAAACAAATTATAGTATTATTACTCGCCAATAGATGTCAGAAGGAGTCACTTTTTGAGTTTATGTTTAGTTGATTATCGATAAAGAGTTATTGATTTGACTTTTATCTTTGTACCGAAACATCGCCAATAAGATAATAATATTTGCACAATGTCGGTTTCTTTACGGTCGTCTTTTTTTCGTGTTTTGAAAAAAACATACTTAGATACAAATTAGATGCGTTGATTAAAGGCTCCTAACAATAGTTTTTGTGACAAAAGAAGGAACTTGAAAAAAACGAAAAATAATAAGGCCGTACACATCTGGACTCAAACCGGGGTCTTCTGGGTTCGGGGCCGTCTGATTTTCCAACTGAGCTATTATAACCTTATAGATATTGGCGAAATTTACCTTCGTATTGTAATGATAACAGTTTTTCATTGCCTGAAAACACGGATTAAACGACATTTTCTAATAATAAATCCTAGCTAGATCGATTTTACGCCCCCGAAACCCGCTGCATACTAAATTTCATGAAAATCGTTGAAGTCGTTTCCGAGATTCCGATTATATATATATGTAAGAATTGCTCGTTTAAAGGTATTAGATATGACAGTGAAAAAAATAAGAAAAATGTAAATTGTAGTTCTTTCAAAGAGTTCCAATAGCAGTCTTCGAAGTATACTTTCAAGTGGCTCCGACAAGTCAGGAGGTAAGGTCTATTCATAACTAACAAAACGAGCCCAAACTCGGCACATCTAGTTCTCCTCGTCGAGGAGTTCCAGTAGCAATCATCAAAGTCCAACTTTAAGTCACTCTAT